CACCAAAATCAACAGAGCTTTCACAAGTGTCCTTCAGATGTGGCCTGTGGTGAAACACATCATTACAGTTTTACTTAAAGTAGGTAGGGATTAACTCAGAAAGGAGTAAACCTGTACTTTTGGTGGCACAGCTGCGCATGAACACAACCCAACACTGGGCACAAATTCCTATGATATTTACGGAGCCTGTAAATGTTTCCTCCAAGGTCTCTGCATTTACAGACTAAACACCAAATCCTGACAATTTATTCATTCTGAATGCTATACTAAATACCTGTTTAGGTCATCTCGTCTCACTTACTCGTAGGGAGTGGTAAGTCACTGCATATTTGTCCCAGCTAAAAAGCTTGAAAATCAACAAGCATGTTGGGTTTCATCTTCCTCCATGTGAAGGGGAAGGCATGGGGGGAACCTGTGTCTCACGCCAGCCCCTACAAGGTCTCCCAGGTTTCTGCGTACGGACTAGCAGGTTTGGTGCTCTGCACCCTGCACCCCTCACCAGCCCRTACAACTTAAGAAAAAATTAGTTTTCTTGGATTCTTCTTGAAGTTACAGCTCTTGCAAAMCCATATTGTAGGCAAAAAATGCATAAACACAATCCTCAGAGGAAACTGGACCCAGACAGACAACATTTGCTGGTACCAGTTCATGCTTCAACCTTTTCAACAGAGTATCTGAAGAGGTAAGATGGGTTCCCCAGGGCAATCGGCCTGCATAGTTTAATATGAAGGCATATTAAAAAAAAATGTACTAGGAAGAACATCCCAAGACACCACTTCAGAGCTGCTGAGAAAATGTTTGACAGAACAAATCACAATAATCATAAATAATATCAGGACATTAATGATTTTTAAAATAATCACATTCTCAAGATAAAAGGGCAGTTTTGCAAGGGAGGGAGGTAGAGGAGAAGGATCTGTAATAAGGATGCAGAAACTCACTGGTGTGGTTAAGGATGCCAGAATCTCTGTAGTGCTCTGTTAGCCATGATGTCACCCAAATAGACCTCAGAAAATGAGGAATAATGACATAATATCTCAAGTTTAATTTTAAATGTTTACATTTCTGCTCCTTCAGTTAAAATTCCTTTTAAGAAAGATATTTGGGTTTTACTTATACCATTGATTCTAGGCTCCTGAAGAGAAGACACTGTTGTCAATTTAGATCTGATGAGAAACCATAGGAAATATGTATGACTGGCCTAGGAGTGAAAACCAAGGGCCCACACTGAGTCTATAAATTGAACAGAGGCATCGTTTATCTTGTACCGTTCAGAGCTAAAATATTCTGTATGCCTTTAGAAAAGAAGAAAGAACATTTTCAATAGMCACCATTGTGTGAACTGTTTTCAGCAGTTTCTTCCCCTTGGAATGGCGTTGGCAGCATGCACAAGTTGTRTTTGTCACCTCTTTGCTGCACTCCTTCACTGCTTAGTGCATTTGGAGGTTCTTCTCTGCTTATTAATTAGTATGAAACAAGCTCAACAACTGTCACTAAGATGCCTGTGACAGCTATTTAAGAGCAGACGTGACACCCGCTTTGCTCTTCGTGACTGCCTGTGAGGGACAGCGTTCCCCAGGGTGCAGAAGGTAGCAAATTCTCTTTCTGTACATAAAACAGGCAATGTGCTGCCGTGCATCCCTCTGCGCTCCGTAACAAGTACATTTACTTAGGAACAGCCCTGCGGGACAGATCCTAATCACAGTTTCACTGGGAGCTGCAGCAGCAAGGATTTAGCCAGGATATCAATCAGGGTGCTACGTTTGATAGTTCCTATCTGTCCTGAATGGCCAGGAGGAATTGTTTATTATACTATTTTTAAGTCTGAGGCTTAGCAATAATGGTCGTTTTTGACAAGATTTTTACTCCATGCTGTCTTTTTTTAGCTAATTCCTTTCCACTGGAAATACGTTTCTCCACAGCCTCGTTTCTAAGTAATAGGGTTAACTTGACAATGACACACATTTGCTTAATGGGGCTTTGGACTAGAGTCATGGGGAGARGGGAGAGCTTTTATTCTGAATATCGATGCATGACTGCTGCTGAAGTTTCAGAGACAAGATAATCCTTTTATTTATATATATGAATATATATATATAGGAGGCCTTCCAAGAATGATATGTACTGATTTACATAGAAAAAAATCAAAATCACACCCAGTATTGCAGTCATACAGTTTTTGAAATGTCTTTGACACATTCTTAGCATTTACTGGGTAATTTCATATGCTTCTCTGGCAATTTATTTTCATTATTTGCACTACAATCTGCATCCTTCATTTTATTTTATGAYGTGGACATGAAGTAAACTAAATGACAACAGGCCCCGGCCTTCCCCATTTAYCACCAGGAATGACTTTCCATAAGCAGAATCCAAGGGATATTGTGCATGYATTTGAGTCTATACTTATATTAAGTGGAATGTAGGTATTACTGTTCTTGCATACATGAGGAAGCAAGACTTGGCATTGATTATAATAGCAGTATAATAATTTAATAAATTGTATGTCGCAAGTATATCTCTGGGTCGGTATCACATCCAAATGTTTTGGAAAAAATGGGCCTAAGTTTCCTAATATTAGCAGTTGTGAACAGTTCATAGAAACCTGCTTTATGTCTCTGTGAGTTAATGGGTTTCCTTGGTAAATTTGGGATCAGTGTGGAAGAAAACTACAAAACTCCCACTGAGGTAAAGGCAGAATTAGTCTCCCAAAATTGGAGAAAGATTAAAGGAGAGGAATAATTAAGTATTATATATCACAATGTTGATGCTAATTTAGACATTATTCTCCCACCTTTACTCTCTTTCTTTGATTTAATCAGAAAATAATGAARCAACACTATGTTCTTTGCAGCAGAAGTAAAAGGACAGTATAGGTAGAGGAAAATTAGAAAATACTGGATAAAAATAAGGAACCATAATGATTTTCAAGGTATAAAGCTGACTTACATGTAAAATTAACTAGTAAAGAAGGAGGAGGGATGAGAAAGAAAGGCAAGATATGATTGACCTGGCAGTTTGAGATTAATTTGTGCTACAAGTTCAGAAATGCTGGGATTTTTAAGAGTTTGTTTCCCCAATATTTCTTATTACTTTGTATTTTTGTACCAGATCTGAAATTCTCYGAAGATAAACATGATTCGCTCCAGGCACTTGGTTTTTCACCAGTTGTTAGTAGAGGAGAGCTTTGCTTATTCTCCAGACTAGTGAGAACTCAATTGAAAAGCTCCTATTCCTCCAGTTCCAAAAAACACAGCTAATTTACTCCATTTTTTTCCCTCTCACAAAATGTTATATTATAGCTGGTTGATTCTTATTACTGAGTGTTCTTGATCTTGCCCTAAACCTTGTTTTCATTATGGACATTTGGAATCTGCAAAGCGTCATGATGTAGACGAGTATAGATATAAACAATTCATTTTATTTGATTAGAGACTAGATTGTTACCTATCCTGTGTATTATTTTAATGAAATGAGAAAACAGAGAACATTGCTGTTTAACAGGACTGTGCTATGAGTTAGGAGTGGCTGCACTGACACTACACTAAAAATGTCCATTATTCAGCATGAAAAAATATTCTGTGTCCTCGCAGGACTCCTTACTCTATCCCTTCCTAAATGTCACTGGACACAGGGAATGGCTGGGAATGCATAACTCAGTGTGCTGTCATATTTGATCTTGTAGGAGCAGAGGAAAATGAGCCAACATGCCTATTTTGAAAGAAAGGCAAAATGGAAAATCAGAGTTTGAACCTCAGGCTAACGGAAACATGGCCAGTCTGAAGAAAGAGATTGGTCTCATTTAAAAGCCTATCATTATATTTTTAACATTTAGTATGCTTTACTATGAGTTTATATTCTTGATATATAATTTGGATAAAGTAGGACAAAAAAAAAAAAGAATTGTAGAAAATCCACTAGGTCATAATTGTGTTTTCAGATATATTCTAACTGGTGTGCACGTGAAGTGGGATCTCCAAATATGTCCTCCAGCCTGAATTATTCTATAGTTCTCTTTGTATATTTATTTTATTTAACAAACATATTTATACAGTAGAGGAATTTAATTTTTGAAAGGTTTTTGAATTAAAAAAAGGATTACTGAGTCAGGTTGTTAGTAGAGGCATTGATGCATTCCAACTACTTTGTTACAGTTAATTCTGTTAGACAACCTTAAAAATATCTGAACAATTCAGTTTACAGCTGTTTTTTTAGTTAACAGTACAGCAGGACTCAGCATAAGTGATTCTGATGCATTTTGCTTTATTAGTAAAAAATCAGTGCAAAAGAGAGAAGGATCCATTCATGGAACTGGAAGATTAAAATGGAAATGTTCTATGTGTTCAAGACAAATAGTCTTTGAATATACCCAATGAAAATCTGTAGAAAATTATGTATAGATGTTCCCCATGTGTACTATAATCACTGTTTTATTTAAAATGACCAATCATGTTGATCAGTTCCATTCACATCAACTAATAACAAACTTAAATGGCAGTAAATAATGAAATTATTTAGATTGAATTATTAAATTATTTAATTTAATTTTTAATTAAATTCTGTTTTCGGGAAAAAAAAAAGTGGTTTACATTACCTCCAGGTCCCTGTGTTTTTCATCCGTGTCATGGTCCCTCAGTTCTTTTTCAGAATGATCAGTACAGTCCTCTAAATGACAGACGTATTGATATTTGGTAGGTTCACATTTATCTTGCTTCCATTGGGAAACATTTCTTTTATGAAGGTTACTGAAATATGCCTCATACCTTGGCAGTTCTGTAAACATATCATCATCATCACCTCTACCATCTGCTGCTTCCTCTTCAAATGAAAAATCGCCTTCTGCTTCCTCACAAATATGGAGTTTAGTGTTAGCTTCATGTGATAAAAATTCAAAATCAGAAAATGTGATCGCACTTGTTTTGTGCTTGATGACCCTGATCTCATGGTGTCTTTCTTGTCTCCAGCTTGAGCACGGGGGCAGGTTTAAAGGATSTTCCTTGGGCTTGTGCCCTGCAGAGCTCAAAAATTCTCCACAATGCTGCTTTGTCTCAGGCTGATCAGGGGCTCCCACACAGCCAGCAACCACGTCAGGTCCCAAGGATGTCCTGCTGTAGTCTGGCACGGGTGACAAAGGTGACAAACTCGACTCAGAATCCAGTAAAACAGCATGAAATGGAGATGGGCTTTCCTGTTCTTCTGTCTTTGAGTGGTGTTTTTCATACTTGGCTTCCCTTGGAGTCCCCAGGCACTTGACAGATGTAAGACAAGGTGAGCCCAGTTCTTCTTCATAGATATTAGTTTCCATTCCAACAATTTTCATCCATCAGAGATCAAAATGACTTMATTCTTGGTTTTCTTAAGAAATATAACTCTGAGTGTGTAGCCAAGCCATACCTCCTTATTTGTTCACAAACATTATCACAGAATCATTATTAATATTTGAGTTCTCATACAGCTGATCGGAATTCTTGCTGTTCCTGAAAATTAAAAAAAGAAAAGATGGTAACGTGCTTGCATTGGACTGCATCAGCGAGAGKGATCCTAAAGTATATAATTCCAACATCAAGTTTACACATAGTTGTTCTTCAAAAATATTTGATGTATACAGATTAAATGAACTTAAAACCCGAGAACTTTGAATTGTTTGTCTTACAGATTAGGAAAGAAGTGGCAAACACAGAAATGTTTTTAAATATTGACTTTACTTTGATTATTGACCCAATGGATTGGAATCATTCAAACTGATATTTGTTAGATAGGCATTTGTTATCTAAACATATTTCTGTTCACTGTATTCTTATTGTCATTTAAATAATTGAAAACTCACACATTTCTCTGGCATAACTATTAAAATACCATAGGAAAGAGCAAGGAGCCAAAGGAAAGGACACAAAGAAAGTACATTTAATTTAGCTAGAATTTTCTCTCTTTTGGTTCTCTGAATTGCTGTTACTTTGTAGCACTTGTCCATTCCCAATACATTTGCAAACCAAAAAAAAAAAAAAAGAAGGATACAAATACAGAGAGCTTCAATTCTAATTTAAAGGTGGCTGTGTGTGTGATTTAGTTCTAACTTCTGCTCTTGCCTCTCCTCTATGGAGCTCCAGTCCATGGGAGGAAAAGTGCCTCTGAAGAGCTGACCTTGCATCAAGGAATTGACCCATATATGTAATTTGCTTTTTGTGGTACATTGAATATTGATAGCATTTATTTTAATGTTTATTTTGGGAACTTCACATATGAGAYGACAAAGTGAACAGAAGCTTTTCAAAATAAAAAGAGAAGCTTAAGCCTTTGAAGTACATGGCAGGCCTGTCAGTGATGAGCAAGACACGTCAGAAGTCGACACTGTCATTGTCAAAGTGGGGAGCAGGCTAAGGAAGATGCTGATGTGTGACATGCGTGTCACTGCAGGTGCTGTAAACTGAGCAATGCATGCCAGCAAGGCATACTTTATCGTTGGTYATTATACATTTTAATGTTATAGACATTATAGATGCTCTCTCTATATATACACTCTATAGATTTTATATCTAAATAAATATACATATATATTTTTCCCTCTTCTGAAATTGCCCAACCTTGGCCTGTTCCTTCACCCTCTTCAGCTCAGCTGATGCTGCTGAGCAGACTCTGCTGTAATGACATCCTGTAGAAATACAGCTGTGTGCTCATAGGAGCATCTTTGCTGTAATACTCTAGTGTAAAATGCATCTGAAGAAGCTACGATAATTTGGAAGTAGGCAAACATGGGGTAAGTTAAAGGTATTTTATTTAAGTCTGATATTTTAAGATGATGCTTTAGATCTCAAGCAGGAATTCAGATCCCTGCAAAAATGTGTATTGTTAGTTATCTCTGGGTTTTCCTAGCCTCTGAATAAATGTCTTTTCTTTTTAAATTATGTTCTTTGCCTAGAATGATTTCCAGTTTTACTGTGTGTGTGTGTGAAGCTGAAGTTTTTACAGTTTAGCTGTAAAAGTTTTGCTTTTATTAGATTTTCCTCCTCCTTCTCCACTGAAGTTTTCTTTTTCTCCTTGAGTTTGGGACAAAGAAAGAACCCAGAAGTAAGCAGATTTTTTGCAAGTGTGGGAAAAAATTTATGAATAGGAAGCAAAAAGAAGACAGAATGTGAATTTACCCATATTCATCCTATGGGCCATATCTCTTCACTTAGTGTTGCAATGACTGGAATAAAAACTATTATAGTTCGTGTGTTATAGAGATTTACTTACACATTATAGCTCCAAAAAATGGAATATATTCAGCAGAGCTGGACCTGGAAATTTTGCCTATTGCAAAATTAATAACTCAGAGAAATCTACACATTCAGAGCTAAATTTGTCCTTGCAGTAAAAGATGCCTAGCACAGACCTTGAAAATAGCATAATTATCCCCAAAACTAAACACCAAAAAGTGTTTGCCCCTTTAAGTTCAACATGTTTTTTTCTGGAAAAGTTCTTCAAAGCTTTATAAATAGAGAATATGTGCCTTAGATTATTGCAGATTTATACTGTAGCATTAACTGCACTGCTAGAAACTAGTATAGGTTAAGATATTGCTGGATAGATAATAAAAAATATCTTTTTCTTGTTTGTTTTTCTTTCCAAACTGGAAGGGACAATGTAGGGTATACCTCAGATCACATTCAACTGTTTAGCTAAAACCAGCTCCAAAACAGGTTTAGGGAGAGCACCAGAGTCACAAAGGATTTTTTTCTAAGGTAAAATGTGCAATGTAGGATCCAGTCAACTTATTACATATAWAGGAGTTTAAAACTTGCAAACTTATTCTCTTAGGAAAGATCCTTGCAAATTAGGAATAAATTAGTAAAGATTGATGATATAGCTAGTAAAATGCTATATAAAGTTAGTTATCTAATGGTCTGGTAAGAACAAATGAATATGTGCCTACTCCAGATTTTTGTATATTATGATCTCTTGACCCAATTTGCTCAAACAAATACCACACAAAAAGCACGTACTAAGCATAATCATTAAATAAGAGATTTTTACAAAGAGTATGGGTAGCCATTTTAATATGGGTAGCCTCATTTCTATTTTCTTTAGGAGAATTGTTTTCTGGGGCAMATGGTTATGCTTTATTTCATAAGGTTACTATAATAGCAAGCTAACTTTGCAAACACTGACAAAACTAGCACATTTCACTACCCATTATGTATTTTGGCATTACAAACCATGTTTGGAATTTTATTACTTTTTATTACATCAATTTAAATGTGAACTGACATAGTAAGTTAGTGTATAAAGTCCTGATCCTGGTTGGAACAGTGTAACAGCACTTCCTTAAAACAATGAGTTTTTATCCCTCAGCCCCTAATGTATTTGTTTCCCATCTAACTTTGTTTAACAATTTCAGTTGATTTAAACAATCTTTCCCTGACAAATTAAAAAAGAAGCCCCCCAAAAAGTGAAACACATAAACTAATAGCAATTTAGGACTTTTTTCCTGCTTTAGTTTTACCTGTTTTGCAAGGTAACTCCATATTTTCAAGTCAGTTAATTTCCATAAGCATAGCAACAGGAACTCAGTAGCCCAAAGATCCTCCAAGCATTGGGGCAGAACAGAAAAAGAAGGGAACAGATCCGTGACAAAAGGCATTTCAGCTTGCTTGCTGCACAAGAGCTCTGTCAACAGGAGTATGTGTGAGAATTCCTGGGGCTAAAACAGCCTTTGCAAGCACTGGCCAAATCACTCACAGAAAGGGAGAAAAGGAGAAAAAAAGAGTGGGAAAAATTAAAAAAAAAAAAAAAAAAAGGAGAAATCAAGACTATGCTTCAGAGGAAGATCAGACACTTCCAAAAATACAGGGTGACCTTGTTCTGCATGTTGTGCCAGATTGTGCTTTACTTCATCACCCCGAGCACCTGGATCCGGTTTCACACAGCACCCCCTCTGCTCTGGATACTGTCAATTTGAACAGGTAGGCTGYGAAATGCCTTTGGATGTAGTTCCTCCAACCCAGTGCAAAGGGATACCAGAATTAAGTTTTTATGTCGCTTGAAAATTCTAATTATTGTTTGTCTACTTTGCTTCAAGACTTGCATTTTGCTGCCAAAATTTTACAAGCCTTCCTTTATATGTATGTAGAGGATCATAGTTGCAGACAAGCTTCTGCGTGTAGGGTACTGGGAATGGGAGTTTCCCAGTGTGATCAGGGATTAGTTATTTGCAAATCTAGCCTATAAAGAGAGTGTGTGAATTGTCACAGGAAATACAGGGTCTTCTCATCTTCTCAGCAATATTCTTGACTACTGAGTCATAGGTTAATTTTGGAACTGTTTTTCTATTGCTTTTGWTTATAGTAAATAACAAAATGGAGAAGCTGCAATACCCTTCTACTCAGGTAAAGGATCCTGCATACTATGCAGTAATACTGTGTAATATTTCACCTTGAAATATCCAGAAGTACCCACAGATGCTGCAAAGTCTAGATCCCCGATGACTCATTTCAGTGAGTGAGACAGTATTAAGATGTTGAGTTTCCTTGCACTCCATGAACCTTATTACCTTCATTGAGCTTGACTAGTATTGAAGTCAATAAAGAATTTGACATATTTATGAATGAGTCACTCAGCAAATGAACTCCCCTCTTTAGGCAACCATTTTAGAGAAATTTCTTTATATGATAATTCAATAAAGCTTGTCTCAGATTTGGATACGCTTATTATCTCTAAATAGCTTTACTATCACCTCTTCCTTTTAACTTTCCAATGTTCAGCCCCAACTGTGGCTGTCCAGCAACCAGATGCTCATTTTATATTATCAAGGAAAGTAAAATGTCTTCCCAAATGGAATAAATTAAATAGGCAAAGGGATATTTTGCAAGCGTAACTGTGCCTACATTCATGGTTTTTCTCTGCTGCATCTGCTAGTTACAGATACTCTCGCTCATAGTTACAGATACGTCATTTTCCAACCACCTTCTTGGCTAATGCATAGCAAAATATTTACAGCTGAGACTACTTGTAGTATTTAGCAGGGGAAGATTCAACTCTAGGAGGAGTCACTGATGTGTTCAGTTTAGCTAGCTGAGCTTGAGGTCGATACAGACAAGATGCCAACATCCTGCCAGTAACAGAATGTGTCTTCCCTGAATTGTGTTTGGGTCCAAAACAACATTATCAGCATCACTGTCATTGTCACCTTAGAGGAACGAGGGTTTAATCACAACTTAGGCAGGCTTTTGCAATAGTATTATTCATGCCATTTCTAGGAAATCATCTTTCTAGGAACATCATCTTGGGTGATGTTTAGTTCCAGTCAGTTTACATAATGGGAGGTTTTGACTTTGCAAGGAATTCTGCTGCTTGCAGGAGATCAGGAGCACATGAGCACCAGTAAAACTAAGGACTAGACATGGTTCTTCACAGCTGGAAACGTCCCAGACCCCTTGCATACCCGATTCCATCCTCTGGCCAGAAGGTACCAGAAAGTGTGCATGAGGTATTTAGAGTT